TAGAGCCTTGCTAGTGGAACGACACAGCTCCAATACCTGTTTGCGGCTTAGAAAGCTCATACATGACCAGCTCTTTTCACTTGGAATTTCTCCATGAAATAAAAATAGCCAAGATTACCACTAGAATTTGGACAATCCCCCACCCCTACGCCTAGCTAACACATTGCTGGCCATCTCCTGTCCTCCCAAGGCACATAGGGAGAGAGGACTGTGCCTTCCAAAGCCTCAGCATCTCCTCCTGCTCTCCCTGCAGCAGATGGAGGGCATAACTCAAAGTGAGAGGGGGAAAGAAAAAAAAAAAAAGGGTTTTCTGTTCCTACAGAAGATCACACAGACCCTGAATGACAGAAGTGAGGAAACATGGATCATATTCCAAGGTTCAAGAAATCCCAGTTTTCAGTTTCTTTAGAATCATGCCTTTCCATCACACGGGACACTTCTCAGGAATCAGTATGACATCACTGTGTTGCCCTTCACTTTGCTCAAAAATGCTCTTTTTCTCTAGAAATGCAGCTTTAGAACCACAAAAGTATTGTAGGCTTCTGTTACACGTTGTATTTAAAGAAGAAGTCTTAATTTCACAGAATCATAGAATGGTTTGTGCTGGAAGGGACCTTAAAGCTCATCCAGTTCCAATCCCCTGCCACAGATCAGGACACCTTCCACTAGGGCAGGTTGCTCCAAGCCCCTGTGTCCAACCTGGCCTTGAACACTGCCAGGGTTCAAGGCAGAGCTTCTCAGGGTTTCCTCCCAGACGCAGGCAGGACAAGCAACTTCCATTCCTGAAAACAGGCTGGGATAGGAATACTGCTGACGTTCAATAATCAGTCACTTTTTTGTCTGGAAGTCATTTTGCTTAAGTTGTGCTTTAGCTCAGACCTAAATTCCTAAGTAAGCTTTATAGCAGGTTCTCCAACATGACATCACCAAAGGGTGCCACAGCAGAAAAGAAATTCTGAGCAATGCAGATCAGTTTGGGGTCATCTGTCATTCAGTCACCTAAACCCACTGTTTTAGTTCAGATTCTCTCTCACAAGCTCCCTGCTCAGACCGCCCTGAATTTGGGCTGCTTGTGAATGCTCCTAAAGGTCACCAATTTTTCAAACATCCAACGCAAGCATGAAGCATCTGGAGCCCTTCCAATTCTCAATTTTAAGCCCCACAAAGCTGCAGTCTACTACAAGCAATTTTTAATTTAATGGAAAAAAAACCCTCATAAGTTACACCACTTGAGTGACCAAACCTTTACTAAGTGGGCTGAGAACACGGCTCTGTGCCAGAATTAGCAAACTCCTTAGGTTTCATTTCTCTAGGAGGCATTATCCTGAGCTGCTAGGCATCAGCTGGCTAAAAGGGTTTATTAATGAAAAGTATCAAATTGATGTCAGATCAGATTATAAAAGTAATTTATTTAGATCAAGATGTCAGAGAGTGATGCCAAGGTCCCCACGATGACACACCTCGATGACAGACCTCGGCTACTCGCACAATGAGAGGCAGTGATTCCTAAGGATCATTTCCTATGTTAAAGGAGGAGCTAATAAAATCCCAAGCACTGCACCAGCCACAACAATACTATATATTTTAAAGACCTTAAAAAAATAAAATGAACCAATTCAAAAGCAGAATAAGCAACAGAGCTAAGCGCTCTGCTCATGTGAAGATTAAACCAGATCATATCCTTGCGCTGGGTGCCTCCACTACCTGCACGTAATGCTGTCAGTGGCAGCTATTTTGACTCATTCTCACTTTTAAGCTAGCCACAGAGTCTCAAAGCAGCAGAATCTGCTCGGCAGAGGCACCAGCAGCTGCTCCGTGGAGACATGAAGAAATCAGAGCCACCAGTGATGGGGACGGAGAGGAGCCAGTCAGGCCCAGAACAAAGGCTGCCATTTCCATTCCCTGTTCAGCTTCACCAGGAACACGAAATAAACTCGAACACAGGTTACCAGAATGGATAATCAAAAGAGATCACAAACCATGGCTCGCAGAGGCTCGAATAGGCGCTGCATGGGGAAACCCCGGGTTTTACCGTGCTCTCTGGTCCCCTCTTTCCCCAGGGATGAAAAGAGCCAACGCGACCACACACCATGTTTAGAAAGAAAATTGTGGCTCTGCGTTTAATCCGGTCCAGGCCACGGATTAAGCACAGGGCTAACAGAGATTAAATAAGAGAAATACCTGAACTTCAAACCCTCGCGGTCACACTGAACAGGGTCGGTCAGCGGCGGCCCCTCGCCGATGCCCCGGCGCCGGCAGCATCGGCCACCCGGGAGTCTCCTGCTCCCCTATCCCTCCACACAGGGCGCTCACCGGGAGCTGCATTCTCCCCTGCGCGCCCCACCGAACCCCGGGGGTCCCAGCCTGCCCAGCCCCCGGTACCTGCGGTGAGGAGCTGCATGGCGTGCGTGAAGGACGGGTCCAGGCTGTCCTTCTCGGCCATCAGCTCGGGGAGGTACTTGTTCTCGGGCTCCATCTTGGCAGAGCCGCCGGACAGCAGCGGGGCGGGGGTGCCGGCGGCGGGGGCCGGTGCGTTAGAGGCGCCGGCCGCAGCGGCATTGGACTGCAGGAGCGGCGGCGGCGGCTGCGCCCCGCTACCGGCCCCACGCCCCCCCCCGCCTCGGGGCGGCCGCCGCGACGGGGCACCCCCTTGCCGGGCACCGCCGGGGCCAGGCCCGCGGCCCATGCGAGCGGCGGGGTCGTCGCGGCGCTGCATGGCAAGGAAAGGGGGGCGGAGCACTCCGCAGCGGCCACACCGACCGCCACGGCGACAGCGCCGGAAGTGACGCAACGGAAGCTCCCCGTCCTCCTCCTGCTCCCCTCTCTTCGCCCAGCTCCGAGCCCCGCGCGCCTCCGCACTTGCGCCGTGCAGCCCCCGGCGGCTCGACACGTGGGTAGGCGGGGCAGCGCCGGCCTGGGTCCGGATGCGCATGCGCGGAGCTGCCGGAGTGACGCTAGGCACGGGGCGGCGGGAGAAAGCGCACGCGTGTCGCATTGCGCATGCATAGGCGCTGGGCGCGCCGGCGCCAAAGCTGCAGTCGCGCATGCGCGTCTCCTGCAGGCGGCAGTGCTGTGGCGCGGAGTCGCCCGGTGGGCTCGGTGAGGGGCAGTGGTTTCTCTCTGTAGTCCTGTGCTGCGCTGCCTCGGCAGTGCCCGGGGAGGCAAACACTCGTTACGTTGGTCCCATGTAATGGGGGTTTGGAGAGAGACAGCAATTTCTGTGTGCCAGGTGACCTTACGCAGCAGGGAAGAGGAGGAATCCTATGGGCTGGGGTTATCAGAGGTTAAGGAACTCCAGTTAAACGCGCTGGAGGGGAGCTCGCGGGGGAGGTCACAAAGCCGTGAGGTCCAGCCCAGGGGCACTGAAAAGCTCAGACAGGATGATGTGTGACAGCCCTGGTGTGCAGGGCGTTCTGTTAGTGTGGATGCAGAGGCAGCACAAACAGAGGCAGGGTATATTTTGAGCCTCTCAGCTCCTCAGTTTAGTATCAAACACGGCATTTCATTAATAATTTGACAGTTGCAGAATGAGAACATGAGAAGACAACAGCTTTTATAATGAGTGATTTACACATATACTTTAGCCTGTTCAGGATTCTTATTTGATCTCTCAGTATCTGGTGACAGGCTGCTGCCTGCAGCAACCCCTTCTCTGCAGAGCTGAAGCTGATGTTCATGGACCAACATAACCCCCGACATCAACAGGTAACACAACCTGCACCTTGTCCTGTCCCTCTCACCTCCACAGTGTCATTTCCCAACAACCTCTCCTGAACCTGCACAAACCTTTTGTGCTGCGCTCAACACTTCTGCACAAAACCATCGTGCCTGCATAGAGCTCCTGCTAGGGATGGCTTCAGAGTTGTGTGTGTCCCGATACGTGAGCCTGCTCTGCTCCTCCTTCACCAACTCCCTCCTCATTCGCACAGAGCTATCAGCTCCTGTCCTCCACAACCTCTGCTGCACTCTGCAGGGCAGGTCTCTAGGGGTTCCTCAAGGAACTTCAGCACAAAGCGAGATGCATGTGGCTCCTTGGGAGTGTTTCAGTTTTTTAGAGGAAAGCTGTGGAATGGGGCTCTGGACTGGAAACTCGGAAACCCGGGACCAGTTTCCATCACTCCCTAGGTTTCTGGAGTGAACCTGGACTCTTTGCTCAACGAGTTGGGTCACTATTTGTAACTTAAGTCACTTTTATTGTCTTTTATCTTATTGTCTTGCTTACTGAGGGTGTAAAGGGGCTGAGACCTTCCTTTGTCGTTACCTTACGTAACGAGGTGGGACTGTCACCGGGGGGTGCGCTCCGGCTGGAATTCCGATCTCTGAGCCACCGTGCTCCTTTATTTCGGTTGTGGCGGCGTCCTGCTCATGTGCTGGCCGTTCCGGAGATGGCAGCAGCAGCGCTGTGCCCGCCGGGCGCTCGGGAGCCGCGGTTCCGGTGCCACCGGTGGAAGCTAGAGCCGTGGGAATCACCGGGCGGGCCGAACCACTCGGCGGGGCTGAGAACGAGCGCGCTGTACCACTGCCTCTGTGCGCTACGTGTTGGTGCGGATGCAGCCGCGCGCACATGCGGCCAGAGGGACAGTCCAAGCGCGACGCAGCGGCGGCGGGAGGGCGAGGCCGGGACGTACCAAGTGTGAGAGGGGGTAGCAGGGCGGTGCGTTTCGCTTCGTGCTATGCTCAGCGCCGGCAGGGCGGGCCGCACCACTGCTCAAAGGGAAGAGAAGGGAACCGTACTAATGCTACCTCCCACGCGCAGGGGGAAGGTCTGTTCTAACAGCAGCGGGACGGAGGGAGTCGTTCCCCGCGGCACGGGGAGGGGCATCCCGCACGGCGAGCCGCGGCAGCGCGTAGCGAAGCCGCCCCAGCACTTATGGGAGCATCGACATAGCCGGAGCACCCCCGCGGCGCTGCGGATGGGTGCGCCTGGCGCGCTGAACCGGGTCGGGTGGACCGTACCAATGCTGGGTGTGGGTGTGAGGCGGGTCTTGCCAATCAGCGGCGGGCTGGGCCGTACCACGGGGCGCGGGCGGGGAGGGAGCGGCCTGTGAGCGAGGAGCCGTGTGGCGGCGCGAGGGCTCTCGGGTGTCTCCGGGCCGGACCGGTCCAGCATAGCCCCAGCCCCGCCGCTACCGGTCCCCCTCTGTTCCCTCCGCTCCTTACCAGTGCCCGGCCCGGTGTCTGGGAGGAGCCGGGCCCGCTCGGAAGAACGCTGACGCGCTCAATGCCCAGGGTGAGGGTCTGCGGCGAGGAGGAACTGGGGGGCTTCGGGTGAGGAGGGGCTCGCGGGAGGCTGGTCCCCGGTGCTGGAGATAATGGCTCTGGGGAGGCCTGTGGGGTCCTTCCTTCGGCTGCTGAGGAGGTTTTGGGGGGATTCCGTGGCCGGCGGGGCAGGTCTGGGGCTTCTTTGGCCTGAGGAGACTCCTTCGGCCCCTGCGGACGGTTTGGAACCGCCTTTTGTGCCCAGGGCCCCTTGCCTGCTCCGCCGGGTTGGCTTGAGGGGGGGCATCCTGGTCTTGGGGGTGTTTCCTGATCTCTGAGGCCTGTTTGGGGAACCCTTCCGGGCATTAGGAGCTGCGTGGGCAGGCGTGGGGCGCCTCTGACCCTGGGGTCCCTGCTCTGCTTCAGGACTCGTTGTAGGGGATTACCCCTCTGCCTGTGGGGTGGGATGGTGTGAGGGGCCCCCATGGCCGGGAAGGCTCGCCTAGAATAGGAGCCCTTGCCTGCAGCGTTGGGTGCTTTGTGAGGTGTCCCACCTGCGAGGCTGGTTTCGAGGGATCTTGCTCGTTGGTGGGATGGGGTTAACTTCCAGCCCCCATCCACCAGGACTGTGCGGCTGGTTAGTGTGGGTCCCCCTTCAACAGTGGTGCTGAGGGGGAGTGGGCCCCAAATAAATGGCTTAGGGGAGAGAACTGCTTTCTGCTTTCTGCTTGGGCTTGAGGGACTGTAGGGTTGCAGCAGTGAGAGGATACGGAGGCTGCAAAGGGGCTGGTGTGCGTGAATGGGGGATCTTGCTTGTATCTGAAAAGGGGAGTATTTGTAAGGGTTGGTTTGAGGGGAGGGGGTGTTACTTCCTCTGTGTGTATGTATGGATAGAGAAAGGATGGGCGAATTGTTTTGGGGGAAGGGGTTAGGCCTGGAGAAGGTCTGTAACGGGTAAGAATTTTTTCCTGGGATCAGGGCTGGAAACTGGAGGGAAAAGGCTGGGAGCAGTGTATGTGTGCAATCTTTCTCAGGCTCAAGGGGAGCATGTGGAGCTGGAAAGGAAGGGTGTCCAGGATGTGGTGGTTTTCCTGGGGTTTGAGTGGGAGCAGGGTTGTGAATGCAGAGGGCTGCCCTGTGGGACTTGGAGCTGCCTGGGTTGGAAGGAGGGAGCTGATGAAGCTTGGCCAGGGCAGCAGCTAAAAGCCAGTGCTGATGTTGCTGAGGGTGCTGAGTGACCTGCAGGAAGGCCTGAGACAGGAAGTGCTGTCCTTACTGGGCATGTCTGGGGTTTGCTGCTTTAGTGGGTGAGGAGCCCTAGTTACTGAGAGCTGGAAGTTTGGGATTTGGAGGTTGGGAGGTGTTATGGGATGGGGATGATTGTAGATGTGGCTTCCACTCAGCTGCGGTGATGGTTCCTCGTGGTTCCTTGGTGTGATTAGTCACAATCTGCTTTGTCTCTCGGGGCAGCTGTGTGCTCCTTGGTTTCAGTGTGAGGAGGAGTAAGGCAGAAAGTTGGCTTTTAAAGGCTACTGTATAAATGGAAACTCGCTTCAAAACTCCCCAAATGAACCAGTCAGGTTCTGACTCAGAACTGCAGTTAGTATTTAAAGAAGACAAAAAAAAAGATAAACCCACTAGTAGCAGCAGCCAAAAACCTCTATCTCCGTATGACTCAACACGTAGAAATACTTCGATTTAATGAACCCAACTGCTGGAAAGAAAAGATTGGTCAGAGTTAAGGTAGGAGTAGGTATCTGCATATGTATGGCTGCCGAGCCAGAAATGTAGGTGGCCTTGCATAGGGGCTAGCTGCCATCTTTTTAATGGAATCTCTCATAAATGTAGATGATTGACTTCAGGTTTAATTACCTGCAGGTAGTCAGCATTCTGTTGCACGCAGCTGTACTCAGATGTCCTTCCTTGAGCAGAGCTGAGCTGAGATCACAGTAGCTCACCTCACTCCTGCTGCTAGACTTCGCCCTGTGGTGGCATGTCCTGTTGGTTGACTCTGGTGAGGCCTGGGAGGGAGAGTTGTCGCTTGTGGAAAGGCACATTTCTGTCCTTGCTTGAAGGAGGATAGTGATCCACAGCTCAAAACATAGCTCTTGAGATCCTGCAGTGCAAACAGATCACGTCATTAAGTAGTGTAGGTTGTGTATTTTGATAGTACCTTGGAGGAGAAAACACATCAGTGCTGCACCATTACTGAACTAGCAGAGAGGAGCTCTGGGGTGTTTGTTGCATTTGGATTAGTTTGACAGCTTCTTTGCCTGGTAAGGAGCTGGAGATGTAAACTAGCTGTGTCTGACACTGAAAAACAGACCTGATGGCTTGAGGATCTAGGCTAAAAGTTACTTCTCTTTTTGAAGCTGGGTTAGGCAGGCACCTCTTCAGGCCGGTATCTGGTTGATGCCTATCATCAAAGAGTATAAAGTACCTTTAGAGTGGGTATTGACTTTGGTATCATCTTGGGGCTCATTTTTCTAATTGAGAAGGGCTGAAAGAGTCTTAAATCTCCTGATCCTTTTTTTCAGCTCTAAGACAGGAGACACTGTGGTGCTGTTTCTATTCAGGTCACTGTTAGGTATACTTTTTTGTCAACTCTTGTTTCTCTGTTCCACACTAAAAAGATAAATTCTGTCTCTTACACTGAAATTTAGCTCTGCTCAAAATAATGGACTGTGGATTCTGACAATTGAGACTTAGTGGAGGTGCAATGAGATTTATCAGTAAGCTTCAGTTTGTGTTGTCAGGCTGAATTTAACTGCCGCAGGAGCAGGGAGAAGGAGCCAGCTCTCCACTCAGTCATTTTTCTGGCCGAGGCACACACAAATTCAGATGAGTGAGATGAGTAAGATGCAAGTAACTCAGTACCTCTGCAGGGTAAAGTCTCCATTGCTGTGGTGTGAAAGTCCTGCTTGACTTGTTAAGGGCTTTTTTCTGGGTTGTTTATTTTTTTGCTCCATCATCTGAAAGTGTGAGAATATTTAGTTTGAGTTGTTGGGGAGCTGCTGACCTTGCAGGGCCGTGTTTTCAAAGACCAGCAGTTGATACAGCTCAGAGCACTCAGCATTTAGGTTTTTCAGGATGAGTTCTTAGTGTCACATCCTCATGAAAGTGATTTTTAATTTTACTGAAATACAGTTCTGTGAGTTAAATGGGATAAGAGCTTAAGTTTCTTTTTTGTAGCAGGGCCTTTTGCTTTTGACTTTCAAAGACTTCTAGCAACTGTAGACTATTCGAGGCATGGTATGTAAATAGCATTCGAATGTGTCTTCTGAAGGGTTTTTAGTATGTAAATGGTGGGTGGGGAAAGTGTTCAAAAGAGCCAGTGTCAAAACAGGATTTTTCGCGATGAAGCAGCTTCTGTTTTGCAGGAAGGAATCACAGAAACCCAGTCTGGTTTGTGTTGGTAGGGACCTTAAAGCTCATCCAGTTCCAACCCCTGCCACGGGCAGGGACACCTTCCACTGGAGCAGCTTGATCCACGCCCCTGTGTCCAACCTGGCCTTGAACACTGCCAGGGATGGGGCAGCCACAACTACTCTGGGCACCCTCTGCCAGCGCCTCAGCACCCTCACGGGGAAGAGCTTCTGCCTAAGAGCTTATCTCAGTCTCCCCTCTGGCAGGTTAAAGCCATTCCCCTTGTCCTGCCCCTACAGGCCCTTGTCAGAAGCCCCTCTCCAGAAAGAAAAGTTCTGAGTCGCAAAGCACACGTGCCTGTTGGGCCTTGGAAAGAGCTCCAGTGGTGTCTCATCGCTTCCCACTCCCAGCTTGCAGAATCATGGGCTCTGTGCATCAATGCCTGTGTTGGATGTTGTGGTTTGACCTCACTCAAATTTGGGGATGGCAGCTAAACCTTTCCTGTGTAGTACTCAGAACTGAGTTGTGCTGCAGGATTCTTCTCTCCCTGAGTAGTTTTGTACAGCACACTTGACAGTTCTTGCAGTTTCCTTATGTGTCACTTGTGAGTTACTTAATCTGTACTTACTTTCCCTCTCTTGCTCTATGCTGCTGTGGCTTCTACGGGTGGGTTTTACAGCCTGGGCTGGGGTTGGTGTGAAAGGAAACGTGTGAGTCACCCGCAGAGTTTGTCTGCAGGCTGGGAGGGGAGGGTGGGACAGTAAAAGTTTGACCTCACCCCTCTCTAGGCATGTGTCGTTCCAAGCAAGCTTCCTTCAGAGACGGTTCAAGAACTCCTTCCAAGAATGTTCCAGAGTTGCTTTCCCCTTTGTACTAGGAGAGTGTATTTTAGAAAAGATAGTGCTTTGCTTCTTGGTAGTGTGTGTTTCTGCTGGTTTAAGGCTTAGTTTGGAGGACTTGGTGAATTCTTTCACCTGGGAAGCACTCAGATGAAACAGGACGTTTTAAGGGTGTATGGACAGAATGTGGGTCACTTAGCGGGGCAGCGCAGAAAGGGGAGGTGAAATCTGACGTACACAGTGTGTCAGGAAAAGCCTGGCTGGCTGCAGCCTCGTATGGATGGGAATTTTTATGGGATCAGCTGGGCACCCTCAGCATGCCGTGATGTTGATTTCACGTGTGGAAATGCTAACCCCAAGAATGAGGTTTTATAGAAAACGAAAATGAAGCACCACATGACCTGACTCTGTTAACATCGAATGCAGATTCCCACTTACAGGAACAAAACCAGCTGAGATGGTTTGAAAATACTGGACTCCAGAACACAGCAGTGTTCTTCACTACAGCCTCACAAATTAGAGGGCTCTGATGCACATCCTGTTGCCGGGTTGTTTTGAAAGGGGATCCAAGTGACCTTTCCACAGGTACCGGTGTTCTGCAATCTGGAAGCTGCAGCTGTTGCAGGCTCTTTGCTGCCTCGGTGTAGCTAAGGCAGCTCTTCTGCCAGTGTGTTTTGAAGGAGATGGTGGAACTGGGAATTCCTGATGATGTTATTACTTTTTTTTCATTAGCCCTGTCTTCCTGCTTTGCATGGGCTCAACAGGGAAGAGCAGCAGCTTGTCCTATTGAAGCATCTAATTGAGGTGTTGGTGTAATGACTGAGGCTCCAGGCTCTGGAGGTGAGCGGTGTAGGTGTGCTGGGTTTTTGCTTAAGGCAGTCTCAGGTGAAGCTTCTGTCCAGTCAGGAGTTCATTTACCTGTTCTCTTAATTAGTTAATCATCCTGATTTATTTATGTTAGTTAATACATTGCCCCCTGCTGATGTTTCAAGCATATTCTTCCATGTCCATAGTAGTTTAAAATACAGTCTTCTCAAATTGCTCTCCTTAGGCTTCACTAAGCTCTCTTGGCATGTGTGGCTTTGTGTGAGCATGAGGTGGGGAGCTCACTACACTGGCCGTAGGTGCACTGGCACAGCTTGCAAAACTCAGTTGTATAGATGCACACCTTCATTGATGGTGATTCCCTATAATTAAGTTAAACAGCATCATGATCTGGCTCCCAAGCATATTTAGTTCTTTTCAGATGCATGTATGGCTATTGCTTGGCTTGTTTGTCCTGCTCCCTCTGCTTTTTCTCCTCCTCTGGATCCTGATAGAGCTCTTGCACTTCATTCATGGTGTTGACATGTTGGATACCTCTGCTCCCTTTCTGAGGCCAGCCATGCAAGACGCGGTGTCATCTTTTGGTTTCTCTCCATGTACTATCTCACTTTCTAAATATAAAAAGTTGAAGATTAATTGGCTGAGAAATTATTCCTTTTTTATGTTGTGCATAGACCTGGTTTCTAGTTACTCTTGTTGGTTTGGTAGCGCTCTGTTCTCTTGGGATTTTTGAAGCGCAGATTTTCTTGCTAGCACAGGGTGGAAGAAATTATAAAGTATTTGCTTGGGGAGATCAGAAGTTGCAGACAACAGGGGTTTTCCTGGGTTTTATTTTCTTAATGAGGAGCCTAGTTTTTCTTTTTAAACTTCAGCTTAACAGTTAGCAGCTGAAAATCGAGGGAGGAAGGGATGTATGTGTCAGTAACCCAACTTCTACAAATAGTTTCCTGTACTACATGAACTTCTTATCCTTTTGGAAATTGTTTTTCAGCCTTAAATACAGCACTCTGTTTTTAATCACTCCTTAGCTATTAGCTGATTAAATACTTCAGTCATACTCCTTTGGGGAAGGTAAATTGTGTCATTCTTGCTCTACAGGATGAGTTGAGCTACTGAAAGTGGCTTGGCCAGGGTCAGACCACGAGTAGCTGCAGATCAGAGCAGAACTGTAGCTGGTGCCTCCCCTGCCGCTCTGGATTCACTGGAACATGACATCTCCATGTGTCCTTTCTCAATGACTTGATAAATCAGTTTTACAAGACATAAAATAATTGGGTTGAAATTCCTTCTTTGATTTGCTTGAGGGAGGTGAAGTGTAACTATAATGATCTGGGCTGATACAACTCACAGTGCAAATAGCACTGCATGAGGCTTTTCCAATGAAATTATTGGTGCTGAAAAGAAGAATGTCTAAAGGATTTGTTTAAATATGATGCAACAGCTCTTCCCCTCATGACAGTGTACTTTGTAATGCTGCAAGCCTCTGATGTGCAGGATCCAAGTTCTGATCTCATATGCCAAGATCTGTTGACCATTGATTTTATTTAAATGACCTTTTTGGGTCCTAAAAAGTTAGTTTTGGAACCACTGTGTAGCATAGGTGTGTGGGTCACTCTCAGGACGTGCCAGATGACGGGGCTGTGTTCAAAGCCGGGAAAACAGGTAAGAGTTGGCCTGAAAAGAGACTTTCTTGCATCAAGTTTTACAGGTGTTGCACATGTGGACGCTGTGACTTTGGTCATTCTGTTCCTGGTGCATTACGGCTACAGCAGGCTGGAATTGATTTTAGCAACCTCTACCCTTTGAGATTGGGTATTATATAGGAGACAAATTGGGTATTGTATTGGGTAGTATGTGTGTGACAAATGTGCAAGAATTGACACGTGTACGGACTTGAGTGTGATGTGCTTAGATGGAATTCTTCCAGCTGGGGTGAAAGTGGATCCTGTAGTCATGACACTGCTGAAATATTCCTGGATTCATTTTTGAAATGTGTATTTGAGTCACTCAATGGAGCTGTGCTAAGGCCAGGGCAGGTCATTGACAGCATCTCTGCTCTTGCCTCTGGCAACCTAATCCATGGATTTTTTTTGGCACTGAGAGCTGTTCTTTAAGGAAACACTTGCTGTTCTGTGGGTGAGTTCTGACTTCATGTCAAGTGAGGAAGGTGATTCTGTAGGACTTAATTTGACTATTTTCAAGTGAGAATCTCATTAAAATGTTGGGTGCACCAGAAGTTTGGGGGATGAACTTCCGTGTGTGTGTTTCCCTGATGGCATTCACTGAGCATTGACCTTTCCACTTGAGTTGCAGGTTTGTGACTTCTGGCTGTTAGTTTAGATTTGATTCAACAGATTTCAAGCTTTTTCCTTAAAAACCCTAAAGTGTCAGTAGTGACTCTTTGGCTTTTTAAATGCAGTGAAAAGCCATATTGCTTTTTTAGTGTTTCAGCCTTAAATGAGCTGAGCTCTTTTAGCTCCATTTTTGTCTGCCTAACATTCATGGTTGAATTGCATGGTTCCATCTTTTATTGCTATTGCCGAAACGTCTGTATTTTGAAGCCTATGTGTTAGGACTGGAATCTGCCACAGGCTTTTAATGCCCTAGTCTGTGAACACAGGTAAGACTAGAATAACTTACAGTTATTACAGTTAAGTGACCATTTAGTTGCTGTTGAAATGGCTGATTTCTGGAGGGTATCTCCCTGGTGCTGTAGGAGATTGTGGATACAGTGCTGTGGGTGAAATTTATCTGCTAGCAAAAGCTCAAACACATGGCACTTTAGGTACACTCTTATTTCTGCTTGTGCTACTTATTTTGCTCAGAAAAAAAAAGCTATACCAACAGTATTTTTACCATATTTGGCCTTAAGCCAAACAGGTATGACTGTACCAACAGCCACTTTGGAGCGCGTACTTGGCTTTGTGCTATTTTCTTCTCTTTTGAGGCACCTGGATGGGAGGGAAAGGCTGCAGAGGGCATAGAAAGGTTTCCTTGTTCTCAGTTCCGGTGCCTGCCAGGAGCAGCACTTAACCAGAAGTCCATGTCTCAGTACCCACAGAATATTTGGGATTGCAACTACGAGGAGTCCAATGACAATTGGTTTTTGTTTATTTTTTAAACATTCTCTAGTCTAACTCAAGTTTCTCTGGGAGGGTCAGTGTTCAGTGTTTCTGGAAGTAGAAGCAACAAATCCTCTTACCTGATCTTTCTCTTCTCTCAGGTGTTCTGTTGGAGCATACGCTGCACATTTATGGCGATTCTGAGTGTGAGGGCAGAATTCTGCCAGGCCCAGCACAGCATCCTGGCTGACAAGTGAGCTGAGTGCAGTGGCTTCCACGTGCCATAATTACTTTGCCTTGAAGACTCCGGACACAGTAGATACTCAGATATATGGGATATCTTCTGCACATTGGAAGCATTTTCCTTTTACTGACTCTAGCAAAACTAAGCATCAAGAAAACAAAGTGGAGAGAAAATCTGCCCTTACTTTTTTTGCCTCACCAGTGCCTAAATGTAGAACAGGCTGCCTAGTCTTGCATGTAGTCCGAGTTTTGGAGTCTGAAGGGTACCACCTGCAGCAGTTGAGGCTGAAGTTGAATTCAAGTGGATTCTGAAGCAAACCAGCTTTTCTAGCAGTGAATTCTTTAAGGAACAAACACGTCAAAGCAAGCTCTGATCTGTCCAAGGCATTTTAGTGGTCTCTTTAATGTTTTCTGCTGTGAAACCTTTCCAAGGTTATTGATTTTTTTTTGATTTTTTTTTTTTTTTATTATTTTCCTCAATCTTTTGGCCCCTTACACACTTCAGTTGCCATTATGAACCGTCCAGCCCCTGTGGAAATCACTTATGAGAACATGCGTTTCCTGATCACTCACAACCCAACCAACACAACCCTCAACAGGTTCACAGAGGTAAGGCAACCAGATAAAGCTTCCTGGCATGCTCATGCTTCTGTGGAAGCACTGGACAGTCACTCTTCACACCTGTGGCTCAATACTTTGGCTGTATATTATGTGTTACCTGAAACTTAAGGTGTTTTTATCTTTAATATATTGGTCACATTCTCCTGACAGGATGAGAAGAGAATCCATTGATTGGTTTTTCCTAAGTCCTGCATTTCTTTAATTGCAAGAGGCCGAATGAGCTTCTGTTGTAGAATACACTCCCCTCGCCGTGTTCTTGGCCTGGTTTCTGAAGGTCTGCGTGTTCTGTGGTTCTAAATGTTATCTTTCATTAAACAATGCAGTGCTTCCAGTATATCAATCTATGGCTCACCTTTTGGCTTTTAAAATAATTGACAGAATTGTAACTGGTTTCTGACCTGTCTTCTCCCTTAGACTAGGGGTAAGCATGATACTTAAACCCATGCTGTAGTTCACAGACTGTGTTACCAAACCACCCTGATCCAGAACAGCCCAAGAGTTCGGGTGCTAGAATGTATCTGTGAGACATGACATCTGCTGGGTCTGAGTGCTGGGAAGAGTAAGTTACATGGGCAGTGGGTTGCATTGTCACTGACACAATCAGAGCTTAAATACAGCAAAACCTAACATTCGGCTTTCTGAAAAGGAACCGATGATGGTATCATCAGAGGAGTGGCAGGACGGTGTATTTCTGTGTCCTGGGTCACTGCAAGCACAGTATCTTTGTGGCCTCATATCTAGAGGATTTTCATGTTGCGTGTGCAGGTCTGTTTCTTCCAGAGAGATCCTGTCATCTGATACTGATGTCGGACTGTGGCTATTGACTTCTGTCATTCAGCAGTGGTCATTCGCCATGGAGCTGCTCAGATATTATTGGTTAATTTTGAAAGCCACATTCTTTTGGTCTTTATATATATTTTCCCCATTAACATGGATTGTCTTCCTTTTTCAGGAGTCCTGACTCTGGAATAGGTGTTACTGCTAATTGTTAGAAGTTACAGTGATTCATTCCAAGCATGAGAGGAAATTCTGCTTGCTGTATGAACCTTCAAAGTGAACTGGAACAGCTTTTGTTTGATCTTCTGATTATTTATCTAGCACAATGTGCTACTTATAGTGCATTACAAGGAGGCTAGAGTATGATGGTGTGTGTGTTCTGTTCCTCGCTCCCTCAAAATGTCAACACTGTCCGAAGCAAACAGTTCCAGGCTTCTATTTAAAGAGAAGAAGCAGCTGCTTGGAGAATATAAGTGGTTATTTTAATTTGGCTCATATATATACATTTTTTTCCCCACCTTGGCATTCCCCTGGATAAGGAGGATTCAGAGTGTTTTACATTTATTCCTGTCATTTGTAGCCCTTGTCCTCTTATAGGCCATAGCCTCCCTTCCTGTGCTGGCATTTGCTCCTTCCCTGTATAGTCACCTTGGAGCTGTACAGTAGTGGTGGCACCACTGACTGTTTAGTTCTGCAGCTGCTGGGAAAGTGCTTGTGTTGGTCCCTGTGTCATGTGCTCACCTGTGTTCCTTTTCCCTAAAGGAGCTCAAGAAGTATGGAGTGAGAACCTTGGTGCGAGTTTGTGAAGCCACTTACGATCAAGCTCCCATCGAAAAAGAAGGAATCCAGGTTATAGTGAGTTGCCTTTAAAACTGTCTATAAATGAAACCCACCATGGGCAGAAGTGGTGGGGATGCCCCAGGCTTTGGGCAAGCAGTTGTGACTGTTTCAGACTGGCCAAAAGCGATGTGATCTCCAGCATCAGCTGATGCTGGTTTTGAGAAGCTCACTGTACTTTTGTAAGAGGTACTTGCTTGTTTATTACTATTGCCAGAGCTCTTTAGTTGGAGTAGAAATGCCTATTCCTGGATTTCTGGGTTTCTTGAGATACTTGATTGCCTTTTAGTGACTAGTTTGATACTAACCCAGTGTTCAGCCTTGTGGTTCATACAGCTCACTGCTTTTCAGCACTTCTTGGCTTTACTGTTGGACCTTCTCAGGGTGCAGATAAAAGTCTATCCTTCAGAAAGTGCCACCTTTTGGGACTTTCTGACATGTTGATACTGACTGTGGCAGGATATTGGTCGACAGCCTCATCACTGCTCATCTCCAAATGGAGCCTGACTGCTGGTGGCTCCCCTCTTCAGCAGTTGGAATTCCATAACTGCTGCTCACAGCTACCATTATGCAGTGACTGTCTGACTGTATGGTCTGGTGTTGCTCGGTGGTTATGGGGAGGTTGTTTTAGTAGGTGTGTGCTCACACGAAGCTTGCAGGCGGTATTTTTCCAGGCAGTACTTCTGAATCATCACAGTGTGTCAGATGTAATCAGTTTATTTTACTGGAGTGAATAATACTCTGTTCTGAGGCCAGAAAATGGATCTTACCTTCTTGGTGCAGGTAGTCAGCCTTCCTTTACCCCTTGATTTTTATGGCTCAGGCGGAGAAAAACTTTTGAGTTTTCCATTAGGAGAAAAACTTGTATCCTGGCATATCTGTGAACACTCCTGTACAAGTTGATTGGGTTTCTTGGCTTCTGGCCCTGGTAAGCATTTACTCCAGTTCCAGGCAGCCACATGTGCCTCAATGTTGTTGCAAAAATCAGTCATTATAGGGTTAGCTGTGCTCCCAGAGCCTTTTTGTTCTCTCTGGAGCTGTCTTGGACTGGGACATGACAAGCATTCTCATAACGCTGCTGTGAAGCTTCCAGCTGTGATATTCCTGTGGTTGCCAGAGGCTGGAAGGATTAAACTTCTGGTGCCAAAGGACTCGGAGCCCTGATTTAAGCTGGGGTTTAAGAGTTTGTGTTCCTGTGCTAGCTCAAGAACTGGGTTCTTCCTATAAGGCTTGGGACAGTTTTGCAGGTGTCCAGCTCTACCCTGTGAGACCTTGGCGTCTGCAGCTGGGAGCCAGATCCACCTCCTGCAGTCCATGCCCCCTGGGGCAGCTGCAGGAGCTGGAAGTGCAGTGTCCTCTGCAGCCTCTGCTTCTGAAATAGTTTGGGGATTTTGGTTCTCAGGAAACTTTAGGAACTTGGTGTTGGCTTGGTTTGAACTGAAAGCAGGTTTTTGAGGAAGCTTTTGTAAAAAGCTTTTGTAAAAGCTTTTTGTAAAAACTGGAAATGTTTTTTCTGCAGCTGTGCTGAGAGATCCTTTCACTTTAAGTAACAGATGTGAGAGTCTTGTGTCCACAAGTTTGTCTCAGCTAACAAGCCTCTTTGTATTGGGTACATACGAGATCTTAGTGTTCCATTGCTGCAGAAGGACAAACAGGAGAGAGCATAAATCTACCAGGCATATGTTAAGGATAACAGAAAGCAGAAGGTAACAGGGAAGGTTTGCTGCTAATGTTATCCCTGATCCTGATTATCCCAGTCATGGGGTTGTCTTAGTAATTCACTGTATTGCAGTAGTGTTTTCTATTTCAGATAAGCTTTAACTAGTTACCAGCATGACCAGCTTTGCTTTCCTAGGAGCACTTCCTTTTTCAAAGCAGAGTCCTGTTGCTGTTCAGAATTGATATTGAATTACCAGCTGGCTTAGAAAATAACACGTCACTATTTAAAGCTAATATTTGCTTGCAAAAATAACATTAAGATTAAAACCAGCCTGACAGAGATTAGTGTCTATTTTAAAACTGTTGAGGTCAAAAGCATAGTGAAACCTCTCAAAATGAGAGCACTTGAGCAGAGCCTGCTGTCAGGCTGCACTGGAAGGGTGGGTAGAACTGGCAGCTCTAGAGCTGCTTTGGCAGATGGCATAGTGAGAAAGTAGAGAATTGGATGTTCTGTGTTTGAAGTAGTACTATTACATGCGTGTGTTTATCAACAGAGATTAAATCCAGGAGGTGGGAATGGGTTTAGTTTCTGTGGGTTTCTGCAGTTCTTGGGTTCATGCGTCAGGTCTTTTAACACAGAAATGTTACATCACAAAAACTGGTGGTTTTCTGGAAATAGTTTTGCACTGGCTGGTAACCAAGGAGGCTGTAGGGGGTTTGTTCGTCTTCAGGATCAAAGACAGATATCATTGTTCGTCTTTCATGTGGGTTTTGAACATGGGATTCTTGTCACCTTAAAGTCCTGTTACTGCTTCTTGCTTGTCTCAGTTCTGCATTGCCAATCCTGCAGTCGTTGCCAACTGACAAACCCAGAGCTGTTCTGCTAAGCAACGCTGCTCCAGCTGAAGGATAGATAAGAATAACCCCTTCTTTCCTATCATCCTTCCCAGATCCTGCAGAGTGGCACAGAAGAGCTGTGTATTCTGTTTTTTCAATCTCGGTGCATCATCCTGGTTATTAAATGACTGGTTTGGTTGGGGAGCTTAGCAGTTGGGTTTTATCCTGTCTGACAGAAGCTCAGAGGTGATGCTGGCAGAACTCCTCAGCAGGAAAAGACTTGCAAAACTTTGCTGCATTCACTCCTCCAGTCTCAGAAGTGTTCTTGTTCCTTGTCCTGGGCAGGGTTTTATCAGTGCCTGTTCAGTGTCAGGGCTATACTGTTCCTGGGAAGGTGATGCTTGCGTGAGGTTGTGATTAATTCGGGCCAGCACAAGAGCTGTGTGGATGTGATGTTTAATATATAAGCTCAAGCAGTGTAATAAGCTCCTGTGTTTAGTTTGAAGGAAAGGGTTTAGTTTAATGGAAAACCAGGAAGCAGAACTGACATGCAAATCCTGTTCTTTGCAAGGCAGTTTCAGAAGAAAGCACCTTGCAGTGGGCAGTGCATCTTCTCTTGGCAGCCCATACTTCTCTTCCTGGGACAGTGCATAATACTAGGTCTAAAATAATAGAGCTAGCCATGTGTGATGGGGTGGAAAATCTGGTGAAAGCCTTTAATTAGAAAGAGCGAGTTTCACTTTATGATCTTGTTTCTATAGCCTTGTTGTCCCAGATACTTTTAATTTCCCATTTGCCTTAGAAAAGGAGTTCTCTGTGCCCCTCAGACTTTGTGTGTCTTTCTGAATTCATCACATACAGTGTCATTTCAGGAACTAAAAACTTTTTGATTTGAGTTCCAAGACAATTTCCACCTTGCAGCTTTTGTAAGTGCCAGCACATCGCTTGGGTGCTCTCAGGCAGAGGGTTGTGCCAAGTTGTATTTGCTGTTCAGGAATTATCAGGGTAGCAGTGATTGTATTTCAAAAGGGAAAGCCTGCAAAAACCTGTGGTTTTTTTTTTACCTTTGGCTGTACTTGCTCAGTTTCTGCGTGCTTCTTTAAGGCTTCACAGAATATTACTTCATATTAAGCTGTTCTCAAGACACTACATGAAAGACCTGTTTCTAGCCAGTGAGGGAAGAAGACGGCTCCTTTCAAAGCCATTTCCCTGCCACTTGGAGAGGTGGCTGAATAATACAAAGCTCTGGCTATGAGTCTCTCTTGTAAAATGCATTGCAGTCTAATGAAAAGTGCTAAATAACTACTAAGTATTATTTTTCCCCTTGCATCTGGGAGTGCTCTTTCTGCAGCACTTTGTGTTGTCTTGAGAAGATTATGAAGCACATGATGGTCCTGAAATGTAGGACATGTACTACACTTAGTGCAAGTTCCAGGAGAGTGCTTGTGACTTCAGGGAAATGGGAAGCTTCTGACGTGCAGTTTTGATTGACAGGCATGGTGATGCTATCAGATGTGATTTGGCTAGTGAAATGGTGGCTGCCCCTTTAGTAGGGAGAAAACTGTAAATGCTGCTTGTTTGGTGACTTGGCTGATGTCTGAGCACTATTCTTGCTTGTGAATGGGCTGGGGGATTTGCACTTGAACTGTCTTGCTGACTGGATTCATGGCAGCTGGACAGGGTGATCCTTTTGAGTTGTTATGAAGAACCTTCTCCTCTGCTGATCCCCTTGAATTTTTAGGAAGTAGCTTCTTTGTACAGTCGGAAGTACAAATAGCACTTTAAAAGATTGACAGAACCACAGGCAAAAGTCTGCAGAGTTCTCATTTCTCAGATGTTTATTTGAACTGTCATAATTTTCATGTATTTTTAATAAAATGGATTTCCAAGGCAGCCATTTTTCTAATAATTCTATACCACATAAGAGTCGGTAGAGTTTTACTGAAATGTTATTGGAAAGCGCAGTTTAATGGTTGTTAAACATTTAGTGTTCCATTATATTGACTTTCCAGCTTCCGTGCAGCCAGAAAAATAGATCTGTTTATAGTACGCACTTCTTGCTGATGCAGTATTTTGTTTCTCCCAGTTCCGGTTACCTTGCTGTTGACTGTGGTTTGAAATCCATGCCACTAATGCCTTTTTCTTTCCTTCAAAGGACTGGCCATTTGATGATGGAGCACCACCCCCCAATCAAATAGTTGATGACTGGCTCAACCTGTTGAAATCCAAATTCCGTGAGGAGCCTGGCTGCTGTATTGCTGTTCACTGTGTTGCAGGGTTGGGAAGGTTGGTGTTCTGGTTTCTTTTTGTACTGGACTTAAAAATTAGTTCCCTTGTGTGGAAGGTCAGGGAGGGTGTTAAGTAAGTGCCAATTCCTCTGTTTTCTCACAAGTAACACTTTAAAGCAGCAGCAAGTTTGTGCCATTAAAGCAGGAGAGACTTACTGCAACTTAATCTTGAGTGGTTTCATAACTCTTATCAAGGATGGAAGGAAAAACATGGTGAGATTGTTGAGAACGCTCCTGTCAGGAGTGACACAGGCAGTTGGAGGTGCTGTTCATTTGAAGGTGTCTTTTTGCTGAAAATCTCCTGGGCTTCTTGACACGTGTGGTACAATTTCTAAGGCTGTACAGTTTTTAATTTCCTCCTTTTCAACTGATGTACTAGTAAGGATGTGAGAACAATAATAAAAGGCATTTAGAAAAACCAATTCAATGGCTTTCTTACTCTATAAAGTGACATCACTTCAGTTTCAGGAGGAGTTAGGCTTGTATTTCTTGCTCACATGAGGACTGATGTTTCTCTCCTTGCCACTCAACTTCCTTCTTTGCAAAGAACTTCCTTTCAAGATGAAGTAATAATTTAAAAAGACTGATTCAGGGGAGCTCAATGATAAATTCATATTCCCAAATGTAACCTCTGAATGTTCTGTTTATTCTGTGAGCTAGGAGGAAATGGTGCTGTCTACTTAGGTACTCAGCAGGCAAATGTTGTTCTATAGATAATGCTTACAGAGAAAGTACTGAAGCTGTTTAAGATTAACTTGATGTATTTTGAGGGGTTCAATGTATTGTTTCTCTAGATCTTCCTGAAATACTGATACCTCTCCCTTAGGGCTCCTGTACTGGTTGCACTTGCTCTCATTGAATGTGGAATGAAGTACGAAGATGCAGTTCAGTTTATAAGGCAGTAAGTTAAACTTCCCTTTGCGCAAGAAATCTCTCATTTATGTTGTATTTGAACAGTATCTGCAGCAGAATTCATTAGATTTCTGATTTCATTTCTAGTACTTATATCCTGACATGATCGGCATGACTTTGATGTAAATATTGAGGCTTGTGTCCTTTCCTGTGTTTAGAGATGAGGATTAAAATGTGGTCTCTCTCTCTCTCCCTCTCTTTTATTGTTATTATATATATATGTATATATGCATTAAACCTGGGCTTATGTATTAAGCCATTGACTTGCGACTCAAAGATTTTGAACTTGGGAGGAAAAAATGTCCAGGCTGGGGCTGTAAAAATCATGGATGACCTGACCATGGGCTAGTTGCTCCTAATGAAACTGACATAAATGGTAGCGTGGGTGGGCCAGCACATGAGTACCAGTGCCCCTATGTGTCCTGTGGGGAGTGTTACCCACCCAGGAAATGTCTGGAAAATTGACAGATGTGATGAAGGATGAGACTGCAGAGCTCTGCTGGTTTAGTGATAACATCACATTTTGAAATGAAGCCCAGCAGGTGCGATTTATGTTGAATGAGCTTTGCCAAAGAAACAGTTCATCCTTTTACAGACTCCCAGGGTCCTCAGTTTCCTCTGTGAACTGTATTGCGGTTGAGAGATTTTCCTGAATTTTAACTTACTTAAATTCCATTTTTCTCGTCTTGGGGATGATGCCTTTATCCCAAGAAGCTCTTTCCTGAGAACCTCTTACATGTTTGTATCTGAAAGTCATGGCCTTGCTTAGCTGATATGAGTAGCCCACGCACCTGCAAGGAAAGAGTAACCTTGATGTTCAGCTGCTGCTGGTGATGGAAATAAACTCTCCAGTCCAAGAAAACAGACTGAAATTTGTTACCTGGATTTTAATATTCTGACATGTAGGCAATGAACTGGCCTGGTTTATCCCTCCTCAGAGAGTCGGTGGATATAGAACTGAGACAAATGCTGGTTTGTAGCTACAGGAAGGCTTTGAACAGAGGACTGATCTGCCTTGGGGGGTGTGGCGATTGAAGCAGTACTTTTTCCATTGATATTAGCCTTCGTTCTCTTTGTTTTAGGAAAAGGAGGGGAGCTTTCAATTCCAAACAGCTGCTTTACCTTGAAAAATACCGGCCTAAGATGCGATTACGCTTCAAAGATGCCAACGGTCACTGCTGTGTTCAATAAAGCATAATCCCAAACGAAGGCAGAAGTTAGCATGGCTCTTTTCTGGACTCTTGGCACCTGGAAATGTGAATCTGGAATCAAACTACGTCATCAGATTGGGGGGCGTCAGTCAATGACCTCAGCCTCTGTCCTAATGGTGGTGATGATTGAAATACAATAAAAATTAAAACACAAACCTAAGAGCAACATTTCAGTGAAGGATTGTTTTCTCCTTGAGCTGCAGTTGGAACATCTGCAGGGAGAAAATCAGTTTCTGAATCTTCTGTATTTTTAACTTTTTAAGAAAAGAAATAAAGTAAATTTTATGTCTAAGGAAAACCAGCAGAGCATTGGCTTTTGCAGAAACTATTTTCTTGATTGGAGGAAATTTCCCAAGATTAGGGCCTGATAAATTAATTCCTGTTTAAAAGGACTCTTTGAAATGGAGTTGCCTTGTTTTTCACCTTGCTGGGCCCTGGTTGAGGCACAGGAGGAGCATTTGGTGCTGGATGGGAGCAGTCCTGCAGCCTTAAGCCCAGCCTGGGCAAATTCTAGAGACTAGGTGATGTCTGTTGTATGCGTACATGGTGTTCAGGCTCTGCAGGTGTGAGAAACCTTCCTGTGGGCTTGAACAGAAGATTCTCTGCCTGATACTTCTGGTGACTCTGCTAAAGGCCTTTTCTGATGGGTACAAGGTTGTGCTTTAACTGAGTGTGTGTAGCACATGTGTGTCTCTGTCTTACTTTTCCAAAACATTTGGCTGAGATGTTAATTGTCTTTCTGTTGTTAGAAAATCTATCCTGGCAGAAGACCGATGTCCAAGGGGTGATTCAGACAAGGACTTAAAATGAATTGAGCTGTCATAAGAAAGAAGAAAAGGCTTTTCGCTGCTGTCCAGATTCTCTGCCTTGCTGAACACAGTAAATGAGGATTTTGGGGGAGGGTCTCATTTGTATCGCATCTGAGGTAAAGGTGGGATGCACATAGAAAGGTGGTCCATGAATAAATGCCTTGTATGGGTCTTTTCCCAGACTAGCTCTCATGTACAGCTCCATTTAGCCACTGATTTCCTTGTTTTTTTATTAGGCTCTTTTGGAGGGAAAATCTCTTGTTACCCAACAACATGCCTCTCGTTCACCATTGGCAGGCTAGAAACGCACCCATTTTTGGAGTGTGATGGCACCATGTTCTCTTTGTAGGCCGTTGGTGTTGTCAGTGAATTAAGACAAGTCATGTTACAGCCTCTAATAAGTAGTTTCAACCAGGCTGCTTCTACCAAACACATGTTAACTTTGTGCCCTGCCCTAGGAGTGACCTCATATGCTTTGAACTTGACATTATATCTGTAATATTGAGCCACTGAGTGCTCTGAATACAGGTTTAGTGTCCTACTCTCCTGTGATCTGCTGTGAAGTACCAAAGGTTCTTGTTGGTCTGGATCTGTGGCAGTAGATTGGTATCTGTCTCTACCTATGCTTCAGCTTCGGGTGATGTGAGCTGCTTCATAGGATTTCTTCCTATTCCAGATTTCTGCTTTTAGACTTCAGGTTAACTGGGCACATGTTTTCAGAACACAGGTAATGGCCTTTTACAATTCTATTCCTGGATTTATAAATTTAAGCTAAAAATAATGGCACTTGTGAAGCCCCTCCCCTCCCAGAGCTGCTGGCAGACCTGTTTAAGGTCCATGGCTAGAAAACACCAAGCTCCACAGAGCTTGTTCTGAGCCTGACTCAAGCTGTGGTGGTGTACCGAGTTCCTTCCTCCCTTTAAGATGTGTAACGTTTCTGATTAATAGATGAAGACACAGAAGTGTTTGTGATGTCGATGCCTTCATTAGGGAAATAACATATCTGGTTGTGTTTGAGTCCATATGAAAGGTAGATGATGCTGAAAGGGGCTTTACCCTCCCCTTGCAAACTAGAAACCTAATGTTCTAACTGTTTCTGCAAAGTAAAATGGATGTTTCTAGTAAAATGAAATACAGGTAGTTAAAGCTGGGTTGGCAGATGATGGAAGTCAGGTTGGAGGGGAAGGTGTTGATGGATTAAAAACCAAACCCTAAGCCCTTCTGAAGAACAATAAAATCAATTTTTACATGCTATATGTATAACTGCATTCTTCCCCCTAGTTTTGCTCTTGATTTTTACCGTACTAAGTATCCTATACTATGATTCTGCAGCCTTAATTGAGGAAAAATAGTGGAAAGTGCAGACTGTCATGGAGTGTAGACACAAAGGGGGGTGTAACTGTGACCCATGTCCAGTAGCACAAGACTTGGTTCAGCACTTGAGCATAGTGCAATAAAGTTCTTGCAGTAAAATGTCTTCCCTCTGGCTCCTGATGAATTTATTGCAGCTAATTAATGTTAAATGCTCTTTAATCTGCTTTGTAAAGGCCCTTGGTAAGTTTGTTCATGCCCTTTGTGTTACTAGTGGCCACTGGGTTCTATGCTTGGGTTTGCTGGTGGGAAAGGCAGCTCTGCCTTGGAGAGAGGGTACAGCCCTGGAGGCAGGAGCAATTCCCTTCCCTTCAAACATGTAAACTTACCTTCAAAGAACCAAAACAGCCCCCAACCCAAGCACCAGCTCTGAACTTTCCCAAGAACTTTCAAGGGTCTGTTGCAGAACCTACTATTGAGCCACAGGCCTGGGGTGGCAAGCAAGTTCCTGGAGCCTTGGATCCCAGGAAATTACCCTTGCTTGGCATTGGAATGTCAATGCCTCCATCTGTGTAATTCATTTAAATAACAGCAAGATGCTATTTACTGGGCTTCACAGATAACAGCCCAATCAGCTCTGCTTTGCTGCCATCAAAGAAATATGACTTGGGAATCAGTGTTGTGTTCCTAACATGCATCAGATTTTTCCAACTAGGTTGAATTTGAAGTGAAGAATTTCTTCCTCATATCTGATGTAAATCTACCCAAAGGGACACAACAGGTAATGCTTTTCACAAGTGTGTCTGGAACAGCTTATGCTTTAGGCTGTCCAAGGGCTATGCAGACATCGTTACCTTGCAAAAATATTTAACATCAAACTATCAAAACCCAAAACCTTTGGTATGAAGCTAAATCTTATGACCTTCTCTTGTTTTGACCACTCGTTTCATGAGAACCTGAATCACCATCATCAGTGAATGGATGTGACATAACTGGAGTCTTGTTTTTCATGCCATATAGTCAGTCTAGATTCTGCTATATAGTCTTGCTATCAGACTGGTGGGACACCACCACAAAGAAAACTGGGTGCTGTCACGAAGTTACAGGCTGACAAAGCTGTTGGACCACCCAGGACAGGAGCTTCTCTTCCTGGGCTTTGTGGATCACTGGGCAGACCCTCGTTTGGGGGCTGTGGTTGGTACCAGGTAACAGTACTTTGGGAGGGTCGTGGTGTGACTGGCAAGGAGCTTGCCTCTTGGTGAAACATCTGGGTGAGGTTTAGAGGCTGCTGGAACAACTGCAGCAGACCTGGAGTTTGAGGGCTATGTCTGTGTCCTTTCTTACAGGGCTTAACTCTGTAGATGGAGACAAACGAGGGACACCCTGAGCCAATGCCAGAGGAAAATCCTTGATGTAATTCTGTGGATGGATGAAGCCAGCTCAAGAAGGGAAAAGCACCAAGTAAGGAATCACTTTGGCTCTGTCCAGCAAGGGAAAACAAGCACTGAGTAATAACGTGACTCCTTTAGGGCTGCACAAAGTCAACAGAGGGAGGGAATCTGGTCCTAAATGTGGGATGTCCTCTGTGGTTCCTGAAGCCACTTTGCTGGGAAGCTGGGCTGAATGTTAATGACTGGAGTCCTTCACTGAATCAGTTCCCTCACTGACAAGCACCCTGAGGGGATGCACATGCTGAGAGTTGAAGGGTGGGAGGTTGTGAAAGGCCCCCTGCTCTCAGAGAAGCTGGAGGCTGGCGCTGGGAACATCTGCAAGCTCCTGCAGAGAACGGAGAGCACAGCATGGGCCCTCCACTGTAATAGTACTCATCAAGCGCTTGGGTTGTCTTTGGCAAGGCCGTGTTCGTGTGAAGCTCCTGACTTTCCTGGACTACTGTTTTGTTTCTGTTTGTTGTCCTTGTTATCCAGGGGGCTGCTGGATCATGGGTGTGCTGGGTGTTGTGGGCTGGCTGAGCTGGTTATTTCAGTTGACTGGACTTGGTGCTTGGGCTGCCTTTTGCTGCGGGTGACTCTGTATGAAGGCAAGGCTTGTGCTACTTGGCGATTTATTGCCATTTCAAATTTCAGTTTCCAACAATAAAAGGGAAGAGGAATTCTTGCATGGAATAGAAATGGCTTTAGGACTGAAGTAAGAAATTTTCCTAGAGAAAGGACAGTGGGGCTTATCAGGCTGGAGCTGAGTGGGGTTGAGGGGGAAATGTTAGTTGCAGCAGCTTGTTGGCATCTAACCCTTGCTGCTGCTCAGCCTTGCTGCCTGTGCTTGAAGTGCAGGCAAAAAAGCCTCCTGCTTCTTTGAGATCTATGATGGATCTTCGATCCCATTGTTTCCACATTTGGCAGGAAGGGGAGCTTCTGTTTTGCTGGGAGATCTTTGACTGTTCCTAATAATGAGCCTCACTTTTGTGTTTCTGTTGCTGGGGGCCAGCGAGTGAGTCAGTGGGTTTCTTACTATCAGACCAGGCACTGGAGAGGTAAACTAAAGATTTGATGGGCTCCCTGGGGACAGAGGGGTTGGCTGGTGCTTTGGAGGAGTCAGCTGGGATGTGTTGTACTGCAGAGCACTGGCTGTGCGACTTGGGCTAGAGCAGCTTGTGCTGTGGTGGGTATAAGCCATAGCTTTCTCTCTTTGTCCCTAGACAATGAAAACAAGATGAAGGGTAACACAGTGTTGTCAGGGTAGCAGGAAAAACCTGGAGGCAGAACTGGGGGATGCACAACTTCATGATAATCACTAGCTTCTCAATTTTCTTCAGCTCCTGTGCCACTGCAAGCTGTGTGGGACTGGGACCTTACATTGCAGACTGGCATCTGTGGTGTTCCTTTTTGTGGAATGCTAATTTGTACTCATAGAATCCCAGAATCCCAGCCTGGTTTGGGTTGAAGGGACCTTAAAGCTCACCCAGCTCCAACCCCTGCCACGGGCAGGGACCCCTTCCACTAGAGCAGCTTGCTCCAAGCCCCTGTGTCCAACCTGGCCTTGAACACTGCCAGGGATGGGGCAGCCACAGCTTCTCTGGGCACCCTGTGCCAGCGCCTCAGCACCCTCACAGGGAAGAGCTTCTGCCTAAGAGCTCAGCTCAGTCTCCCCTCTGGCAGGTTAAAGCCATTCCCCTTGGCCTGTCCTTACAGGCCCTTGTCCCAAGCCCCTCTCCAGGTTTCTTGCAGGCCCCTTTTGGTATTAGAAGACTGCTACTCATGGTGTCTTTGCAGTCGGGGTTCAAAGTCAGGCCTTGTCTCACAGCCATGGAGTGGGGCAAGGGGAATAAGAGCTGCTATTTAAAAGCAAATGTTGTCAAGGAAACTGCTCGGCGGCAGCACCGCACAGAGCAGCCTCCCCACGGCAGTGTGCGGCATGGGGCGGCTCCACAGACGTAATTGAGACAGCAGGAATTCAGTGCTAGCTACAAAGCCTTGTTTTGATTACCATGTGGACTCCATCCCAGCCTACTGTAGTTACTCTTTGTGCCCTGGTTAATGAGCCAGCCATGCTTGCTCGTTCTGTAAAGCTAGCCAGATATTTTAAATAGGAGAAGGGGTCAGGAGGAAGGTGACAGGGAATTACAGCAGCCTTGCTTTTGGTAGCACTGTTCTGCCTACAAGGGTAATTACTTAAAGCAAGACGAATGCACTGCATTTCAGTGAGCTCCTCTCCAGCCTGCCTTAAATCCGTTACAGGATGGCTCATTTTGACATCTGCATCTTTGTCCTTAATGATGACAGTAAATTTAAACAGCCTGGGAGGGCTGCGGGAGCTGCTGCTGCTACAGCTCCTTTAACATCACCCCATGGGTGAGGCTTCTGGAGCTGCTTCACTCAGGAGTAATGAGAGAGGCTCCCACACACTCACATCACAGGGCAAAGCTGCGCTGTCAAAAGCTGATTGGATTCTGGTAACCTGCAGTTGTTTCCTGGTTACTAAGTAATAACACTGTCCCAGGTGAACCCCTCATGCCTGCAAAGGTGATTTATCATATGGCTTTCCTGTTCGTGTTCTGCAAAGCTGAATCCAAACCTTCCAATTTATTTCGGGACCTTGGTAAGAAATCAAAGCAGGGTTGCCAAAGGGCAGCAGAATTAAACTGTTTGCCTTTGCTTGGATGTGGCTCTAGATACTAATTCTGGTGCTCACAGAGCTGAGTCTGCCAGTGATAGTTGGGATGGGAGGCAGTTCTAGGCAGCTGTTTTGCACTTTGCTGCCTTTCCCAGACCTGCAGCTGTGTCATGACTGATAGTGATAATAAAATCATGATATATCAGTAATAATTGATACAGCACCAGAGCTTCTCTTACTGCAGACATGCATTAAACTCCTCTGGAGTGACATCCAGGGCAGCTCCACTGTGCTGCCAGGGCACTTCCCTGCTGAGCCCATTGCTGCTAAGGGTCCTGCTTTATGCCCTGAGCTGGGTGGTCTGCAGGGGAGGGAATTCTGCCCTGGATGCTGCAGTGCCAGCAGGGCAGTGACAGAGCTTCATTGTGAATCCAGGCTGTTGTTGCTGCTAAACAAAGCAGCTCTCTAAGCCAGGCCTGCAGGACTGAGAGACTAAATGCCCCCCAGCTCTCATGTTTATGCATATATGCTGTATACGTTTCCAGTATTCCACCTGTTTGGTGATAATGGGTGTTTGGGATGGAGCAGCTGCTGAAGTGGCACATGGGGCGGATTGCATCAGCAGGTGACATTTTTCACTGGGTTTATCTTTGAGGACAAGCTGGGCCTGCGATAAACTGGCTGCTCCTTCGTTTTCCAGAGGACAAAGCTGCCATTATTCAGGGGCAGAAGAAAGTGAAACCCCAGGGGATGAGCTGAGTGCATGTGCTATAGCCCCGTTCTGGCTACACTGGCATTAATGCAGGGACTCAAGGTCAAAGGCTACCCCGCTCTGAGCCTCGGAGGCAGAAGGGGCCTCCAGAAGGAAGAATGGT